CGGATTTCCTACATTTTTCAACCGATTTCAACAAAACTTCACAGGACTACGTAAAATTTCCTTGCGGTGGTTCTGACAGCGCCAAAAATTGGAAAACACAATTGTTTTTGCACGAAGTCAATTTGAAAACACGATTAAGAGTCATCGCGAGAATGAAAGGGGGACAACTCATATTGAGTTATACTTATAAAACCCAGGTTGTTTGAGTGTGTGTGTGTGTGTGTTCGTTTATATATGGGATCGGATTTCTTACATTTTTCAACTGATTTCAACAAAACTTCACTTTTTTTTTGGCAGGTTGTGTTTCTTATTGTCGTGCGCACTTTTTTCTTTATTTTTACATTCAGAATGCTTTAAAAATTCCATTTACAAGACAATTGTTTGTAATAAAATTCTGTTCAATCGGTAGACCCATAACGATTGAAAACAATGTTTTTGTTTGAGTTTGGGTTTGACCGATTCGTAAAAAAACAAAAACAAATTAAGACATGCGTGTCCGTCAACCTTAAACAATAATCATTGTCAATTTTATTTTTCAGTTTTTATGATGGTTGATACTTGATCTATCTCTTACTGTTACATCCCCGGGCAACGCCGGGCTCTACTGCTAGTTTTCTATAAGTAGTTGAAGCCATAAAAATTGCGTTCAAAATATTTATATTTCGGCATTAAATAACCCATATCGGTTGATACGCCAAATAAGAAAGCATTGTTTAGAGATACAAAGGATGAGAACGTAGGGAGAGCCATGACTGCCCAGGTTTTGAAGAGTAACTACAGCAAATAAAGTATAAATATTTACCCGCTGCCCAACGCAGCAAGATGTGGCACAAGGCCGAGTTTAAAGTGGGGTCTCCGAGTCCGTAGTCTCAGGCAAAAATTCCCTAAATAAAGTATATCAATAAATATCAGTTGTAATATTTATTAATGTGATACTTGTGAAGAACTGGGTGCCGTCAGACTGTTCATCTAAATGCATCGCTCTCTCTCTCTATATATATATATATATATATGTCATTCACAGACAGACTGTTTCGCTGTATTATAGCTCATCAGTGTGGCTAGTCAATCGATTGCCTCAAACCAGTAGCATCAGTCGGCGATTTTTACCTGAGCTATCAGCTCCCGATAGAGAGGAAGGTGAATTATATATATATATATATATATATATATATATATATATATATATATATATATATTAAGACATTTTTATGTTTATACATTCTTTTTAGATACAAATATTTAAGTAAATGCTCTGTTTATAATAAACAGGATTAAACAATATTTACCGGCCTGAATGTCCGAGAAATGTTCATAGAAAATATTCGTCCTCCGACGGGAATCGAACCTGTATCCTATACGGAACCGTCACATAGCCTGGCATGCCTTTAACCGATTTGGCAACAGAGGAGTGTTTGGTTATCAAAGTCGAATTTACTGCCTTTAAACTTCAGTCTTCCATGAATCTTTCACGTACGTTCATATCCGTTCAAAGCGTATCCAAATGTAAACAAATGACGTCACACATTATGAAATGGACAAAGTTCGACAACTAATTTAAGGCATTTTTATGTTTATATATTCTTTTTATAGATAAAAATATTTAAGTAAATGCTCTGTTTATAATAATATCTGGGCTCCGGTCACTTTCCCATCGCCGTAACGTAGCTTCCCTGTGTATTTTCTGTAAATACTTTCACTGTTCTGATGTACTTTCCTCTATGTTACCTAGACTGTATGAATTTAAGCGCAGTGCTAGATTGGTGGTAAGGTCTCATCATTTCATAGTCGACATGGGTGTAACCTTAACTTCTATGTTAACAGTTTCTTCTCTCACACTTATCGCTTCTTTTCCGGTTTCTTGCTTTCCAGTCAAACTTGATCTTCAAAAATTAAAATGTAGTGTCAGTCGTATTGATTTGTCGTTTTATTTCCTGTCTTTATTGTTCCCTATTCTTAATAATTGTTGTGGTACGATCCACCTAATTTACATAGTGGAGTACCGACCATATAAATATGGTTGGTACCGGGAAGACGGGGGGAGGAAGAAGAGATCCAATCCAGAGACTCTGCCCGACTGCGACTAAGTCAACCCATTCTGCAGGAACGGTCTTCCCAAGAATATACCAAACTATCTGTAATTATTGTGTACACGTTCTTGTGTCAATACATTTTGTTTAAGTACATTTTGTGTTGGATTATTATTATTCCATGCTTTATTCAAGTTACAACAATAATGATTTTTCTTTTCCTCATATATTGTCACACACAGTAACAACTTGCGCCTGTGATTCAATTTGAGATGCGAATCCAGCAAAATCGCAAAAATATAAGACAATTTTGAAAACTTTTATCACGTTTGCCGATCAAACAACGTCATCATAGAAATGAATAAATCCAAAATTTCTCTCTTATATATATATATATATATATATATATATATATATATATATATATATATATATATATTCAAATGTAAACGAACGAAGATTAAGATTTAGGCGTTCAAAGTTCAAAACATAAATTTAAAACAGGGCTCAATACAAAAGTAGAGTAACAAATATTTATTTATTATATGCAGTGTTACATTAGAACATGCACATACCCACTACAAAACTGTAAATCTTGTTTCAACGATAAAAAAAATAACATTTCATCAGGTGGGAAATCACGATGCTACTCTTCAAAGGATCAATTAGTGCACACTAAATTAGGTCATAAATTCTTAGAATTAGTTGAAAAACTTTTCCCTAAAAATAGCTCTCTGAGGAAAATTTTCAAACTTAACACTCTAAAACTTAGCTATAGTTGCACGAATAATTTAGAAAAAAATTAAATATTGAAATTATATAATAAGAGTAACGAATATACTAGGGCTGACCTACTAGGGATCCTACAAATAACCTGTGTAATTGTAAAAATCCCAACTAGTGCCCGTTATCCAACAGGTGTTTAATAACATCCATAGTATATGGGTGTGTCCTATTACATCAGTTGAAAATCTCAGGACTTTCGAACGCTTTTACATCGGAAACACAATGAGGAGCTTCGTGATTTCCCACCTGATGAAACGTTAATTTCTTTTTTTAACGTTGAAACAAGATGTACAGTTTTGTAGTGGGTATGTGCATGTTCTAAGTTACACTGCATAATATATATATATATATATATATATAGGTAACTACACTGGTCTCGGAAAACCTTCGGTTTCTTGATTTGCTAATGGTCAAATCAATCTCGAAGGAAAAAAATGTTTTAAAAAAAGAAAGAGCTATGAACATGAACGTCTGTCGAAAAGAATTGTACAGCATACAGGTCCAAAGCCCAAAGAAAAAAACCCAATACGAGTAATCAACTAACTTAAAAGTGCTCAATACAAAAGTAGAGCAGACCTAGTCAAACCTAGAAAGCCAGCTTTCCCTGACGATCCGCTTAGGTGAAACCTTGGTAGGTTTGTCTGGCTCTCTAGGTTTGACTATATATATATATATATATATATATATATATATATATATATATATATATATATATATATGGGGGTATTTTAATATATTTTCTGTTTATACGTTATATTTATAAATACAATTTATTCAAGTAAACGTTTTTAATCAAACTATATTAATTACACTTACCGGACTGAATGCTCGAGAAATTTCGTAGAAAATATGCGTTCACAAAAAGAAATTGAACCGTTATTCCTATACGGAAACAGTCATTTGACCTGACGTGCTGTACCATTCAGCTACAAAGAAGCGTCTAGTTAGCAAAGTTCCTAATTACTGTTTAGATATGCAGAATCTTCGCCAAGCTTTCTCGATTGATCATTTCTGCTTGCGAAACGTATCTTAACGTAAAAAACGACAACATATTATGAAATAAATTAAATCCGACAATTATTTTATATATTTCCTGCTTATATGTTATTTTTATACATTTTATTTTATTTTATTGTTCTTTCATTAAACATTATTAATTACATTAACCGGGCGTTTCTCTGTAGCTGAATGGTACAACACGCCAGGTCAAATAACGGTTTCTGTATAGGAATTCAGGTTCGATTCCTGTCGGAGAACGTATCTCTTCTATGAAAATTTTCGAACATTCAGGCCAGTAAATGTAATTAATACTCTATAATTAAAAAAACAGAGCATTTACTTAAATAATTTGTATTTATAACGACGTTCTTTGTGGCCGGGTGGGGGTTTCCCCTACAAATGGTGACGCAGGATCGTTCCTTGTCTGGGAACTCTTTCTCTACTCGGATATTTCGAAAGCGTAGGTAGACACAATACATATTGTTCAATAAATAAAAAAAATGGCGGTCGTCAACAATTTCCTGAAATATCTTTCTACCTCGATTATTATTCCAAACTTCAACTTCAGGATTAACTTTTAAACTCATTTTGCTTCGACTTAATATCTTGTCGGACGTAGGTTCATTTTTCAGGACCCGCTTTTCACCTGAGATTACTTTCAACGTGATGATTAATTATTCAGGGGAGACAACTCAAGAGAGCCTGACAGTTTCCAGCAAATGGCAAAATATACAATTGTCAACGGTGGTAGGTTCATATAATTAACTTCGTTGATTAAACCACATAACAAGTCTCTAACAAAGAAAATTCTAGGCAGGCAAGAGAACGCCTGCCAGCAAGACATTATCTTTTAATGCAGCCTTGCCTTTGGCGAATATCCAACTTGGCAGCGTATGGTGCAATATTCGCCTTATTATTTAATACACAAAATCATTTGGTATATTAGATAAAAATTGCCGACGGCGTTAATCGTCCGCTTCTTACAAATGAAACCGAAATGAATATCCTGCGAAGATTTAGTCCTTACACACAATGGCCAAGCTTCGGCATTATTCTAATTGTCAAAGCGAGACGTTTACTGCGAAGACACCGAATCAACTCATTTCATAAGCAAAAATATTAATAGTAATTATATTTTATTCGCGACCGTATCAGATTATACGAATAATGTTAGAAGTCGATCAG